AACAATGCAATCTTGTCTGAACTTTTTAGTGTCGTTTTCGAAACCATCATGTGTGTTTAGAGTGTGGAGGCATGGGAGTGAAGGTGGACGGCTACAGCTTACATCATCTTTGCTCTCCAGACGACATTGTTCACAACATAACACCTAACATCGAGTAGGGGAAACCATTGCTGGCTTCATCGAAAACGTTTCTGGAGGATCGGCTCGTGACAGAACCCGACGGAGACGTGTGTGATCGCGAGAAAAGGATTAGTTTCTGATGATGCTGTAGACCAACCCTTACTGTATAGTGGTGATTACCGTTTGTTGATTGATTCGCTTGTTTGTTTGCAATCCTAGGGTGCTAAACGCTATTCTTCTCACTGATTCACCATGGACGATCCCATTGACCCTTGAGCGACAATGCTTTTTTATCGAATGATCTCAAGGCATTCTCAGAACGTGTGCACAATTGATGCTGCTCCCCCTCTTCAGCACAACAGGGCTGTCAACATCACCGGCCTGACGTACTCGTTTCTAACTTTGTCCAACCAGGTCCTAATTGTCACCCTAGCATGCTAATTTGAATGGAGTGAAGTTGTATTCCATAAAATCAGCTTATGCGCTAGCACTCGTTGCCGCAGAGCAATGCCCGCAGAAGATGCTATTAGACTTGTTCAATACAGTCTGTGCCACTTTTAGTATGGTCCTTACACCTTGGATCAGGCTACCACCATGAGGTTCGTTACTCCTAAGTCATTGAACTTTTCTGATGGCTCCACCAAGGCCATCAAAAAAGTACAGGACTCTCACGACGGAAGAAACTCTGTTCTGAAGAGTGCTCCAAGTCCGTCTACGACTGACTCGGAGCATTCGTCGAAAGAGAACTTGGCCTTTTCACGACTGCTCGGAACCTGTTCTCCGCCGTCTTCGCCTTTTTTTCAGCTTGTTTTCGAGTTTTTCTCCTAATGTCCGTTATCAAGGCAATGCATCAGCCTAGAAGATGGACTTCAGCGGTCATTTATGGATCTCGATGATTTTCTTTATTAGCAGGGAGAGGAATGGTCTCGGAGCTGATTCCTGGTGTACTCGAACCTTGACGTCAATTGCTTTTGTTAAAATGTAAGGGGTGTGCACTACCTTTTCGAATCCACATACATATCTTATATCTTAGAACAAAGACATAAGACAATACGGGATGTTTCCTTCTCGTTGCTGAGGACTGGTCGCGAAAATCGGTCAAAAGGTTTCTCCAGATAGAGAAGGGTTAGGTAACAGAGTGTACGTCCCTCTTTGTACTCTTCACAACTTGTCCCGCTGTGAAGTTGGCATCTATTGTGGACCTTTGGATATGAATCCGGACTGTTCCTATGAGATCAGAACAAGCTCCCTCGATCTTAACTCGACTAGATGGTCGTGCAATTTTATGGTACGCACAGCCAGATTGACCCCACAGTATTTAAACATTCCATTGCGACTCCTTTCTGCATGAAATCTGGAACGAAACTTCTCTCCGCTATTAGAGGTCCCTATTTCAGAGATCAGATTGTTTAGTGCTTGAATTGGGCACCTGATTCATTGCTCTCCGAGCGCCTTTCATGGCTCATTCGGTAGCTCATACTGTATCTACCGCCTTCTCACATTCTACCTCTCCTGTTCCTCGCCAGACCTTAACCTCTCTATGTGGTGGAATGAGACTAGCAGTCGACTCGTTGTGCTACTAATTCACGGTTAACCGACGATTTGGACAGCTAATCCGTTTGCGACAGATTAATCCGTCGCAAACCGTCGCTTCGCTACAATCTTCGCTAAAGTACTCCAATCAGGTTGAAGTTAAGATCATCGGAAAGCTTCGCTAGTGAGGAATCCAGATATATAATGATTTTCCGACTGTCTCAATTTTTTTGCCTTTCTTCCGGGAAAAGCGAAAATTGAGCTCTCAGCTCCTGGGATATTACGTCTGGATATGACAACATCGTAAACTCTCCACTTTGATTGGACACTTCGTTCACAGTTCCCACCTTCCCCTATAATTCCTTGGCATTGAAAAATGCCCCATTGTATCTGAACTGAGCCATCGAGTTGTTTAGATGGCTGTTGCGTTTCTAAAAATATAACGAGATTCTCCCCCAAGAGGTACCAACATAATGCACATTCCAGCTACTGTGCCACGTTTTCACAGAGCATATCTTGCTCTTTCACTAATGACTTCACACAGTATGACGACGATGTAGATTTTCCTACTGTCGAGTCTGCGTGAGTAATCAGGGTAAAATTGGCAAATACTGAAACGCCTGGTATACCTACGCCCATCTCTTAATATTGTGGTGCAAAACCATCCCATAAATAAGATATTACAAGGTCATGCCTCCTGTCCCTATGCCCGACAATTTTCACGTATATTTTCGAAACAACCGCCGAGAGGACACAAGTCGCTTTTTCTATTACTTCACTTTATTTCTTTTCTTTTATTTTCTTGATATGAGTCGAAGCGGTGCAGTGAATGCTGTTGAAGGAGGGATAATGATTCCTTTGAGTGAACTCAAGGTTTGAGAAATCATTTCCGTGACTCACTGACAGCTGATTGCCATTAGAGAGCTCAAACTCGATTCTCGAAAATGGAAAGGAGCATCTTATTCAAACTCTTCAGCGGTGTATTCATGGAGTTCAGTTTCACACGACAGTGGCAAAGACGGCAGCTCTGTAGCTTTCGTATGATGGCCGGAACCTCTATCTATCGAATGGATTTCAATTAGTATCTTCGTGACTAACACCTCATTTCCAATAGTGCATCATTACAAAAGCAAAAATCGACTACTCTTTTTTCGTGTAGGTAGTTTTGAAGCTGCTGATTCCGAGCAATCCATGAAATTGAAATCCGTACTGAGCTTGTGGAGGATCAGCGTCGTCCTCAATCGCAACACTCATTTGAATATTGATGCGTAACCTGGACGAGGGTCTCAATTCTACTACTGACTTCGAATAAAGTCTCAACAATTCATAAATCTCGATGCATCTTGGAGACGCCTCATAAATGAAGCCTTAGAAACAGTATCAAGTAGTTGGGTGCAGCATAGGACAAATTGAACTAAGCAGATGTTAGCATAGCGAAGCTTGAATTGAAGAGGGAGATAGGGGTGGTGGGGAAAGCAGGGCATGCGCCGCAACACGTGATGCTAAAATGAAGTTTCCGAACTCGGTTTTCCAATATCTAGAAGATGACCCGAGGTGAGCGGTCGGTTGGGGAAGATCACAAGGAGGCACACACGCAATGAAAGGAGTTTTTCGCTATAGGGTCGACACTTGATACAAGATCGATGCCAAAGCAACCAGAAAAAAAACTGTAGCGATGGGTAAGGTTTAAGGGGTATCCAAACAAGCGGAGAGCACCGCTTATTTAAGGCTAATAATGCTTTGAATGGAAGAGTCTTGCTGCAGAAAAACATAACTCTGTTTAGGAATGCATAGCATTCATAAAAAGTCCACAGCGGCTACCGAAGGAATTAGAGATCAAATGTATGTGGAAGGATGGGTCAGTGTAGGAGCAGCCGGATTGAGATCTCTTCACCCTATTAGAAATTGGCCTACAATGAGAAAAAATCATGAATAGGTGCAACTCAAGTGGGAATCTGATAGGTTGGTGCGCACTGATGTGGTCGGAGCTGAAGAAATCATAACAGTGTTCAAAACGCTAAAGAGCTCTAGATAAGAAGAAGAGAATGAGACAACTGACAATGGTAGGCGGGTGCTGGAGCATAAACTGAAGTTCGTAGTAAAATTGTTCAACAGAAATCACCAAAGAAAAAGGTTCTAAGTGCTCCTGGAAGGCGACATGTGTAATAAGGTGGGCAGAGTTGAAAGTAAAAAAAAACCGCGTGAGGTTTTGGACATCTTGGCTGTGAAGACGATGGTCGATAGGATCAAACAAAAAGAACGGAGGCTTAATGCACACATTAGCTGCATAGGGCTATATTCCAAACTTATAATAGATCCCCAAGATAATGTAGAAAAGTAGTGAAGCCCAATGGCTATACAATAGTGGTAGACATTAATAGAAATTCCGGGAAGAAAAACAACTGTTAGAGGGAAGCGCCATTTTGTCAACGCATCTAGAATTCGAAAGAAAATTAAATGAATAAGTTTAGATGAGGAGATGCTAGAATTGTGTAGGTAGTACGGTGTGCCAGTGATTGTTTTTGTGATTTCATCTAGGATAATAGCTTTTCATCGGATTGTAATGGTCGAGTAGGTTGAAGTTTGCATATGCAATTTGAAGATTGAAATCATCGGCTCTGTTACGCAAAAGTTAGCTCACAGTAAGCTCGCCGACATTATGTGCAAAAACAATTGGGCTGACATTCAGTTTGCAACGAACAGCCTCCTACAACCAATTCCAAGAGCTAGTTGTTCTATCACTGCTCCATTTATTCATTATCATTGAGTGATGGCGATGATTGTTCTCTCACCATGGCTCCCACTTTTTTCTTTCGACTGTATTTGCCATGTTTATGCGGAGGATGGAAGGCAAAGTTTTGTTGACATCTTGGCCGAAGTTTGCAGAATGCCAAAAAAGCCATGAATCTCCTCCATCGATGTCTTCTCACATTGAAGGGTCCTGGGTCCGTTACAGACGGGTCTACGTGGCGTGACCCTACATAGTGGATAGGAAGTAAAAACAAGAAGTCACAATGATAATGAATACCTACTTCGAGATGCAGATGAGCTCATTTTACGGGCTCGATTGATCTGCTGTGCAGCTCGACATACCTTTCTCTTCGTATGCTTATCTATGCACACATGTATGTTTTTTTGCGGTTTCCGATGGTTAGTGCCTTACGGAGTGATTTCGTATGATGAAGTACGTTCATCACGAGAGGACGAAACTCATCTTTGGATTTTGCAAGGCCTCGTTTAGAGCCGCGTTTTCTAATATATGTACAAGTCAAAACTAAATGTTAAGAGTAATAGTAGCAGTGCTCACTTCCAATTGGTTACAAATAGTAGTGCAAGTTGATACAAACCGCTTATCCTTCCATCGTTGCCTGATCCAAGGAATTCATTCAACTTATGAGTCTGAGTAACAAAAGAATCCACTGCATTGTACTGACCGCCTCGCATGTCGCCAATAGCTTTTCCTTGCCAGCCATCTCCTGGAACGCCTGCATACCCACCACTATTGTTTCGAAGAATTGATTCAGAAACTATGAAAACCTTTTTCATTTAGAATACGGTCTATTTTTGCATTAGCCATTCAAAGTCATAGTCACATGAGAGTGTGCTTAACCTATTTACACACAGCGTCTTCTCTACCTTATATTGCTGAGTACATGAGAATAAAAGCAAAAAGCTATAAGCACTATAGGAGCAAAGTTTAAAGCATCTAGATGAAATGTGAAAGAAGGGATGAGGTCTGTTTATCATTAGCATCATTAGCAATTATTGAATTCAGAAGTTTTCTTCAGCCGAACCTGTTCCTATTACTCGACTCAGTGGAGCATGACAGGTGTCGTTCACGCCCACTTCAGTACTGCCGCACGCGCCATATCCTTAAGGAAAACGTGATCCACCATGCATACATTCAACTTGAATATGCTCATTCAATGCACCGAAATGTCAAAGAAATTTAAAATTACCGGTTGTTTTTTTTTCACAACAATCGTTTTTTTCGTGGGAATCCACTCCGATAAGGTTTAATACATCTGCCCTGGAATTACGTCCACTTCCTGCTCCTCCACCAAGTTCGCTACCATAGCCCGTTTCACTTTCGGGACGAGCTGCAAGAAAGATTCTTGGATAATGATAAACTCACTGCTGATCAGCAGTTCTGAAGCAGCACGGATTGCTAGTGAATACGCTCATTAAAAGTTGAAAAATATGCATACACCTCAGATAAAATAGAGGGTGTACTGCGACTGTGCTTTATATGTTCTACGAGGGTTGCCTTTTATATTTCGGGATCAGGCAACCCTAGTGTTGCAATCTGGAAACTGACAGCTCTATCGTATAGCTCGACCTTTCCGAGGTTCCTAAATCTTGAAAAATTTATTTAGGCCAGAAAAATGGAATTGATTCGCGAATATTTTCGTGCAATTATTTTTTACGTGGATCAACTCAACAGCTCATTTCTTCATTTCTTCTTTTCTTCATTTCTTCATTTATTCATTTACTCATTCATTCATTCATTCATTCATTCATTCA